ATGGTATTTTTTTAATTAAGTATTTAGATGTAGATTTTAGAAAATTAAAATTAAATGATTTTAAGGTTAATTAATTGAAAAAGCCCAAAGAAATTCAATATTTGTTCGTTGGAAATATTATGACTTATTTTTTATATATATAGCGCCTATATTTAAGTGAGCTTATTTTGATGTCAATATGTAACGGTTTTTATTTATTTATTTGAAATATATGAGCACTTAGTATATAATCTAATAAAAAAAAAAATAAAAACCAAATATTATATTTTAATATATGTCTGGTATATATTTTAATAAAAAATAAATGTCATTGGTATATAATTCAAAATGTCGAGATTCCTTGTATATATAAACAAGTAGAAAAATCGGACATTCCATTCGCCTGATATGGGATTCATAAATATTGAAAATGTTGGCCATTTGGGAGATACCAGAAGGAGTGGACCATTTTCGGGCTTGATGTTGGCTTGGTAAAGATAATAGTTTGTGCAAAGTTTGGTTCAAATCGGATCGTTTGCATGTTAATAACATGCAAACGGACTAATTAGTTTTTAGCACAATTTTGACCATATATCTATCTAAATCTGAACCGATTTTCACGAAACTTAGCACACATCACTCTATTCTTAATACAGTACGTTATGTAAAATTTCATCTAAATCTGAACCGATTTTCACGAAACTTTGTACACATCATTCTAGATATAATATAGTACGTTATGCCAAATTTCGCGCAAATCGAAATATATATAGGTACTTTGGCGCACCATTTACATTAAATCGGTCGAAATATATATGGATTCGTCCTTGGGACAAATAGATTAACTGTGCCAAAGGGGTGTCTACCCTAAAAAGCTGGAAGATTGGAATTTGAATCAAGTTTAACATTGAGGAAGACGCATTAGATGTGTGGACTTATAGGCTCAATTTTCAGACATGAACAGGATTTACGTAGTTTGAGTCAAATCGGGTACTTCCTTCGATTCATAACAGATTTATAGATTCCCAAAATGTTAACCTTTGGGTAGAACTTCATCTAGATTTGGCCCAAATATAACGATGTACAAAATTTCGATCGAAATGTTTTTCTTATGAGGAGATATTCCAAATGAGTGGACCAATAGTGTTTATATTTGAAATAAAATCAATCATGGTTTGGTAAAAAATACATGTGAAGATTGAATTCAATCGGATACTTCGAAATGTGTTCTCAAAATACTCACTATTTAAGAAGGGATATTCTCTGTCCTCGAAACATGCAAAATGAACCAATTCAGTTTGGAACCGATAGTCTTCATTTTCGATCTTGACTTGAAGTTTGAATTGAATGAGCCGTGTATTTGGTTCAATTTAGTTACTTCTTCTGTGAGATATGGTACACAACTGACGGACTGGCGAACATTTCCAAATCTACTACCAAATTGTCTGAAATTGATTTTGTTCAATGGAACATGGGGTCGAAAACTAATATCATTCGGATGAGGCATATTTCAAAATGTACAAACAAAGGTTTGTAGCATTTATGATATATATATATATATTTGTTATCAGAGATAACAAATATATTTTTGACCCTCTGGTGTAATAAATAAAATTCAAAAAAATGCAGAAACTTTTCATGGGAAAATGTAATGGGAGAGATATATTGATTTACCCAACATCCTAAAAATGTCGGATAGCATCAGAATTCCGAGGCAATTCGTTCTGGACGCATCACAATTTGAAGAAGGAGGATCTAAACTGAACAATAAATATTGAATTTGTAATTCAATCGTTGCATCAACAACAAAGATGGTAATAGCTGCGCATTTCTCACGCCCGTAATTAAATTATGGTTTTGAATTTCTTTAGAATATAAAATATATATAACACCGCTTTTCTTAGCATTCTGGCATAGAGACGGCAATTGCAACTACTTCGTTTTCAACTTTCATTTTCTTAACTATTTTTTTGAAGTGGTAAAAGAAAATCCATCTTTTGAAAAAAATTGCAGTATTTTTTTCTATTATAAATAAATTGATAATTAAAGAAACCAGTATAATAAATATATTAATTTGTACAATATTTACTCTACACTTCATTAGAGTATGTGACTTAAAATATGCTTTCATAAAAATATTCATTTTTTCTTAATAATAAAAACAAATAAACATAATAACATTATTAAAATAAAAACACCTCATTTTGCAGAGATAAGGGCAAGAAATATTCTTTTTTTTCTTAAAAAATAATAAACCAAAAAAATTTAATTTAATAAGAAATTTCAAAATGAATTTCTTTAGGCTTTCACAATATAAATCCATATAAAAAAACTATATAATAAAAGTAACCGCCATTTGTTTTTTATAAAAAAAAAGTATCAATAAAAACTATTTGTATACAAAAAAGAATAGAATTAAATGATATATGTTATTATCATTGTATTTGAAATAGAGGCAGTAAGTACTATTTCCAATCTATTATATATCTATTTAAACACAGACACACAAAAAATAATGACAACGCAAAAATGCGTGTTCTGTGTTTAAAGTTCATTCTAGCGCGCAACATATTGTGCAAAAAGTATTTTCTATTTTTTTTAATTAAGTATTTCATTTATTTAAACTTAAGTTTGTGTGCATGGTTCTTTTTTTCTGTTCTCTGGAATATTGGTAGTATTTCATAACACAAGGACTATAAAAACTAAATAATTATATATCCAAAGGGATTTAGACACAACAAGTAGTGGTTTTTGTTTTTTAATTTTTATATCTACAGGGTATTTGTTGTTTGGAGGTAATTTTGAAATGAATTTTATTTGAAATTAAAAAAAAACATGTAGTTTAAAAAAGAACTTGAACAATTAATGTAATTAAATATTACTTTGTAACCCTTAATTCCCCAAATAGGGTTTAATAAAAATAAATTACCAATTTTTTATGTTAAAATATGGCAAAACTCAAAATTTAGGTTTTTTAAGTCGGCTGTGTAGTAATCAAATCGTTTAAAATCGTAATAATTTTGAATGTGAATATACCGAAAATGACAAGAGAAACATATCGAACAATGGGGCTACCCTTATATAGGATTATACTACAACGGGGATCGACATCGATCATTTTTGTTAGTGAAATTTGAGTATACCGAAAATGACGCGATTGGGGGTCTATGTTGAAACAGGGTATTATATTAAAAATCTTCTTTTAAGTTGTTTAGCCAGTATTGTTCCCATATGCCAATTTACAGCCACTTCGTAAGGCTGAAATAATAAGGTTAGGAATATCAAAATAAATACCTATCAAAGACTATAGCCAAAATTGAGAAGTTGGAAAGAAGTAAGAAGATGAGAATACAAAGTACCAAAATACAGTCAATTCGGATGAAAACGTATCCAAAATTCTTAAAATACCAAATGTTGGGCCAATAATGATAATTTCAGGTACAGTGGTGTATAATGCAATGAAGACCCAAAATACCAAATTACAGCCAATTCGGTTGAGAAACGTGCCCAAAATCTCCAAAATACCGAATATTGGGGAGTACCGTTATATGGGTCTACCCTGAAACATGGGTCAACATTAATAATTTTTGATAGTGAGATTTGACACCCAATGAGAATACAAAATACAAATTTACAGACATTTCGGTTGAAAACGTGTCCAAAATCCCCAATGTTGGGGGTACCGTTATACGGGGGATACCCTGAAAAATCCCCAAAATATCAAATATTGGAGGGTACTGTTATATCGATACCGTTGACCGATATATTCCATTTGCAATGAAAGTACGAGTACTAGCAATATCGGGATTTCAACACATGAATCGATATATCGACTTAATGGGATCTGCGGAGAATATTTCAAGGCGTTGCAAAGGGAATGACAAATTTAATATACCCATCCCTTATGGTGGAGGGTATAAAAGTGCGAGTAAATTTATTTCGGTCCGATCAGGATGATCTACTCAATTCTTATTGTACCTAAGTACGGTATCATTAGTCCCGGCACACTTTTGGAGACCAACTTGTTTCTATTTAGGGGTCATACCTGGATACCACTCTCACCCTGGGTTCCGGTCTTAGGATGGCAGTTTGTGGAGGTCAGAAAACCAAATTGGTAATCTATCAGGCATAGATTTGTTTTTTAAACGGAAACGAAATAATTATAATTTGACATTGTGGATTCCCAATGGTCGAAAGACTCCTCAACATATGCCTGTATTTTGGTTGCCATTGGTACCCTTTACTATTCTAAGAAGAAGTACATTTACATTTGACCCATATGTTGACACATATGGTCAATAATTTTATGGCCAAAAAGCCTTTATTATGTTCGACATAAGTCCACGTTTTGGTACAAAATTTACCTACAAAACCAACTCTACCTTGGAATGTCCACAGCGAAATATTCTTACTAATAGCTCAGAACTTGCATTCATATGATTCTTCAAAGGACTATAAGTCGTTAAAAATCGAACTATCCATGAAATATTATGATCTGTTTTAGATGATTTTTTTTTACTTTTCGAATTTTAATATTTTTTTAAATTGTTAATGTACTAGATTTTAATAAAAAATGTTCTTCTTGTGAATATTTTTTTTAATTTAATTTCATAAATAAAATGGTTTCAATAATGAATTTGTTTTTAATTGAATTTCAAATAAAATTGTTTCAAAAAAATTATCTCTTTTCAAACAAAAAAAACTTGTAAACTAATTGCATTCTATGCAATATTGCTAAACAATGACCTCCCCTCCCACTCCTCTTTAACGTATATATAAATATTGAAAATTTTGTTTTTCTTTCTTTTTTCTTCATTAGAACAACTTCTAACTACTAGAGGATTATTATTATTATTATTACAACTACTACTCATATAGCATATTGCATTTGTTGTATGTTTGTCTCTTGAGAATAACAGCAAGTAGTATATTTATAACATTATATATAAATCAAAAAAATTAAAATAATAATAATAATAAAAATTAAGTAAATTTGTGTTAAGATTTGAAGTAAATACTAATTATTGGCTAATGTTATCCTTTGATTTACCGTTTGTTGTCTTTTTCAACATTTGATTGTCCTCCGTAGCATCATCATCATTGTCGTCAACATCTTCACCATTTGTGAGGTTTTTGCCAGCTTCACATGCCACCAAATCACCATTTGATGAAGGAGTAACAACACCTCCAGCACCATCACCATCACTATGTATACTATCCCATTTTTGAATTTCAGCTGTACCATAAATTTGATACGAAATATAGGTGCCATTGGTAACTATGGCTGCCACAATAAATACTGTACGCCATTCATCAATTGATGTATCCGTTTGTAGGATAAGACCCGAAATCAGGGGCGATAGGAATGATGCCGACATATGTATGGTTTGACAAAAGGCCAAAACGGGCCCCGCAAAATTCGGTGCAATATCCACAATATTGGCCATGGCACCAGCGTAGGAAGCCGTTATAAATGACACCGTTATAAACCAAATAACCAGAAGCAAGACAATATTATCGATGTAACCAATAAATAAAATCAAAACACCAGGTACAACTTGTGACAGAGCCGTAAATAGTTTACGTATATTCGTTAGGGTCATGCAGTGACGATGCAACAATTTATCCGCAATATAGCAGAAGATCACCGACGAGATGTAGGAACAAATGTGAGGCATACCCGATAATACACCATTGGCCTCGTAATCAAAACAGAGGATATTTTTCATAAAATTCGGTCCATTTATAATGAACACATAGTGTATCCAGATGCGGCCAAATGTCGTTATGGCAATTGCCAAGGCGGGCTTCGAGGTAATTATATCTTTCCAAGGCACTTTCTTTCCGATCGATTTTTTCATTTCACTGCTAATATTGATTTCAATATATTCCAATTCATCTTTGGTAATGCGAGGATGTTCCTGGGGTGTGTTATAGGCCAGCAGATACCAGAAAAGGCACCATAACATGCCCAGCGAGCCGGTGGTATAGAATACATACTGCCAGCCAAAACGTTTGGTGATGAAACCACCCAAAACAAAGGTCAGACCAGTGCCAATGCTAAATCCCTGGAAACTGGACATGAAACGCGAACGTTCTATCAGCGGGATCCAATAGCCGACAACGGCATACATGGCAGGCCAGGTTAGGCCCGAGGCACAACCCTGTATGGAACGTAAGGCAATAAGTAGGCCATAGTGAATGTCGGCACAGGCGGGCATAAGTAGACTGCAAAGGGCCGTGGCAAATTGCGACCAGCCGAACACCTTCTTTGTGCCAAAATATTGTGTGGCAATGCCACCGAATACTTGTGACAGAACATAACACCAAAAGAAGGAGCTGTTTATGACCGATTGTATCGATGATGACCAGTCATAGTGTTGCGGTGTATGTCCTTGTTCCGCTGCTGCTGTTGACGCTATGAATGCGGCTGCGGCTGGTATAACACTTATATTGTGTGCCGTTGTTGTCACCGCTGCTGCTAACGTTGTGTTTACGGAAGTAACTGCGGCATTATTATTAGGTAATATATCAGCACACCGACCACCATTAGACACTGAATTATTGGCTGGCGGTGTCATTGCCACAATGGCCAAATGCATATCATTCCGCATCATAAATGAGACCAGGAATCCCGACCATGATAGCATATAGAGGACAAGGCGAGCAGGTACTTTGGCATTTAACTTGTGTAGAATCGTATTGAAACAAAAAGGATTCGGCGGTGTTGTGGGATTTGTTGTTGGGGGTGATTTGGATGTCGTCGCATTCTGTTTGCCGTTCACCACATCGGATGGCACTTGTTTTAGGGAATTATATGATGAATTGTACATTTTTAGGTTTGTTGTGGGATGTATTTTTTTCTAACGGTGTTGTTGTTGTTGTGGTTATTGTCGGGGGGACTACGATATGTTGTCGTTGTTGTGTCTCCTTTTCTTGTTTATAACAAACTCACTGGCACGTTTAACAAATTGAACAAAACAAAAATTGTTTATATTTTTCTTTCTTTCCATGAGGTAGCAGCACCAGCAACAACGATAGATAGCACAACCACCAACTAACCAGCAATAACAATCCAAACGAATCAACGAACAGTAGTCGTAGTGTAGTGGCAGCAGCAACAGGGGTTGGATTTGCAAAAAAGGAGAACTTGTTTTTGTTGTTTTAACAAAAACACCAACTAACTATCTACTAAGAACTCAACACTCAATCCACGGTTCAGATATTACAAACGGGCGGCCACACACTTTCTTTTAATAACATCAATAGCAATACAATAAACTTGACCGACGAACGGCAGCGCGGACACTGGCACTTGAGGGCAAAATCAACAAACAGATAGCCTGCCTGGCTGGCTGAGGCAGTGGTCTGTGCAGCTAAACTAAAATGATTTCACAACACAAATTCTCTTCTACTCCACACCGCACACCACATGAAGCCAGCTGTGCTAAGCTCAAGTTCACACTACCGACGAACACCACACAACAATGACTTTTTTCTAATTTGTTTTTTTCTCTCTATTATTAATTCATTCATTCATTCCATTTCGATAGTGTTTTTTATTTGAATTTTTCTTTTGGCTGATTGTTGACGGAATCTATACACGGCTGGTTGGTTGGTCGATTGGTTCGTTGTATGTTGTTATACACGACGAAACTCTGGCTAAACTGCATGAACACATGTTAAGGGGTTGCCAGCTGTATACAGAAAACAGAAAGAAGAAAAACAAAACAAAAAACATACGTTGCCAAAACAAAAGAACAACGAAGACGATGTTGTTGACGTCGACGTCACAACTATTAATGAATGATGAGTGTCATTGGCGATGATGACGTTGGCGACGACGCCGGCGTCGTTAGCATGCATGCATGGCATTTGCCGTTATCTACCCCACACACAATGGGGAGACACTCACACACCACAGGGCAGAGAGAGAGCAACAATTAACTAGAGATAATACCACAAACAAAATGAACATTGGACTTGATAAAAAAACTCACAAACATATCTCTTCTCAGTGAAAGACAGAGAAAGAGCGGGGGAGTATTTTAATATAAACTTGAATTTTTTTTGAATGACACATGCACTTTTATATAGGGGAGAGGGGGGCACCTTTGAACGTGGGGCACCTTTGAACAGCGCCCATAAAATCTTGGTTTAATATTTTTCCGACCCGCAACCACATTTTTGTATATGGCAATCTTGTTCTCTATACGTAAACCACTTTGGCTTGCTTTTTTAGTTGTCGAAAAATTGTGCATGGGTGACCATGTTTTCTCAGTGTCATTGTAAACTTTTATTCATTTGGTTCTAAGGACGCAGGAAGAATTCTGTGATAGTTTTCTTTCGTCAAACAAATTTTTTGCATTCCAACAATCATTTCAAACATAACTAATGTAATTTTTTTCATATATATTTATTACAAAAAAAGTTATTTTAAATTTCCGTAAAATGCCATGGGTGGGGCACCTTTGAACATGTCCATTAAACTCGAGTAAAAAAAAGAGTTTTTAACTTTTGGCTTCGATTTCTCAAAATTTCAAATGGGCTAATAAGATTACGAAATGAACTGTATTTTTCACCATATTAATTTTTGTTTTTAAGTCATTTTATGTTTTAATAACTTTTTATCTAAATTTTTTAAATTTTGAACATTTTTATATATTTTTTAATGAATTCATGCATTTCTGATATGTATGAATAAAATACATGAACATAAGCACTGTAAAAAACCATGTCGTTCAAAAATGCCAACCCCTGTTCAAAGCTGCCCCCCTGGGGCGGCAGTTTTGAACACATTGAGTTCGTCCATTAAAACAGTAATAAAATATATTTATAAAGCTTATAGTATGTCATATGTATATTCATTTTAAAGGTTACATATGTACCTATTAGTTAAAATTTATAAGAAACCAAAAATTATAAAATAAAAAAAATTATAAGGCTTGAAAGCAAAAAGTGTTCAAAGGTGCCCCCCTCTCCCCTACTCATATATTAAATAAATGCATATGTACATAAATATGTGGGAAATTCGGCATTTGTTAAATAATAATAATAAATCGATAACAAATAATCACACATACGTGAGAGAAGAGGGGGAGGGGTATGGGATGCCAATCACACACCAATCAATTCAATACAATGGCACTTTTAACGATTGCGTGTTGACGACAACTCTAAAATATGACACTCTCAAATGGAGAGTCAATAATGAAATTGAAAACGATCGCAATGAATAGGCAATAAAAAAATAACAAACAATAGCAAAATAAAAAAATCTAATTGGAATATGACAAATTGCAAATACCCTAATTTGTGGAGGGAAATGGACAAAAAATACGCGAAGCCGTTAAATTTGAAATGATAATTAGAAGCAAAAAATATTATTTTATTATTTTTTTTTTTTTTGAATAATGCAAAAGAGTATTTTCGATATTTGTGATAAAAATAACAAAACTATTATAGAAAACTTAGGGCTGTATTAATAATTTAAGGACAAACAAATCTAACAAAAATTAACATATATTTTAAGGAAGCATGTGACTAAATGCACCAGTAGTCGGCACATTAATGATATCCCTACCTTAATTGATTTATAGTGTTTTAATTGGACCTCTCACTCCAGATAATAAAGATCGCTCCTGAGGTGCCAGATAGACTATGGAATTATTTCACCGATAACACCCAAGGAAATACTATTCTGCAGATACAATGGCAACATTTTTAAGATGATGATATACATAGGAATATTATAGCAGAACTTATTTACGGACGGGAAATAGGTTTTAAATCTTCTGAGCCAAAGTAATACCAATTACAGATTTAGAAAATTAGGGTCCTCATGATGCCGACATTGTAACAGGCCTCTGTAAAAACATTGACTTGTATTGGAAATTAGATTCTTGACAGCATTGACGACTATAGAAAAATATATTAAAGTTTAAAATTACATATTCGATTAAAAAAAATAAATTATTATTAATTGGTCTGTTCCCGTACTGCAAGAATCTACTAGATTTTACTATTTTCTTCGATATCATAAAGAAAAATTTTTATCGTAGTAAAAAGTAGTAGATTATTACAGTACGGGAACAGGCCAAATATTGCAATTTTCGAATTAAAAATTTAATATTATCGATGTAGGGCGTAGGGCGCCAACAATTAAAAATGGTTAATGTCTCATGATTGTATTTTAATAACGTCTGAACATTTATATAATTTACTATGTTTATCTTTCGATAATTGTTGATATGTATGTACACATGTCATGAGTTAAAAATTAGTTTATTTATGGAGCGCATTCCTAAAAAGCGGAGATACGTAGGTCAAGTAAAAAATCAAACAACAAAAAACCTTAGTCATACAATAAATAATAATTAATTTTCTTTTAGTGAACATCTGTTACAAACTCTGATAATATTGGAATTTTCAAAGTTCTCACAATTTTTTTAATATACTTTGTTTTTAATTTCCTTTTTTATAAAAGATTTCCGTTAAATGTTAATTGTTTTCAATTCTCCAAAGGGAATCTTTTTTTAGAGCGATAGGAGAGGTTATTGTTCTTGGCATGTCCATGAATGTATCGTTTTATGACTTCTTAGCAAGATTGTGGAAAACAAAAAAACAAAAAACATAGCATGCAACAAATATCACGTCCATTCATATCTGAAATTGTAAAAAAAATACATGACTTGCTTGACATCGCTATTAAGTATTATTCATACATAGTTATCCATTGGACAAACAATTAAATACAGTAAAACCTTGTTCAGATAATCATAACGTCATGACAAGGCAAGGTTTGAAAAATGATTCTGTGAAATTTGTCTATAGAAAAAAAAAGAACTGAGGGTTATATGAATTTTTTTCTATAGAAAAAATGTACCCCAAGGGCCCTATGAATTTTTTTTCTAATGGACCCAAGGGTCCTGTGCGAATTTTTTTATAGAAAAAAATGGACCCAAAGGTCCTGTGCGATTTTTTTTTATAGAAAAAAATGGACCCAAAGGTCCTGTGCGAATTTTTTTTTAGAAAAAAATGGACCCAAGGGTCCTGTGCCAATTTTTTTATAACAAAAAATGGACCCAAGGGCCCTGTGCGAATTGTTTTCTATAGAAATAAAATGGACCCAAGGGTCCTGTGCGAATTTTTTTCTATAAAAAAAAAATGGACCCAAGGGTTCTGTGCGAATTTTTTTCTATAGAAAAAAATGGACCCAAGGGTTCTGTGCGAATTTTTTTCTATAGAAAAAAATGGACCCAAGGGTCTTGTGAATTTTTTTCTATAGAAAAAATTAACCAAGGTTCCAGGTTCGCCAAGTTAAAATATTGTGTTCACTTCTGAAAAAACATCATCCTTTCGTGAAAAAAAAACATTCTCAATTCCGAAGAGACTTTTAACCTCATCTAACCTCTACGATTGTAAGGAATCAGGATGAGACAGACATTGAACTAAATGATTTCGAAATAAAATAACAGTTATTAATTAATAGCCGACACGTGTTCTTTAAACAAAGCATTTGTCCACTGTAGTGGGGCCATTGCATTGTATGTTTGTGTGTTCGTGTACATGCCACAATATGATATGATTGTTAGCCATCATGCAATGGCGAAGTTGTTTTTCCTTAAAAATAAATGCAATTGAAACAACCCAACATGCAATAAAATTCCACGATATAATTGTTCGTTTTTTTTTTCTTTTTTAAATGTGAGTACTAATAATAAAAAAGGACATCGTTTAGGTCGAGTTTTTTGTCGTTGTTCAAATATTATTACTATTGCAATTATGACCCCAACTATTTATTCGATGGACACTCAAAGAAAAATGAGAGTTA